TGGGTGTGTGTGTGTGTGTGTGTGTGTGAGGGGGTGGGCTGAGCTGTGTGTTTCTGTATGTGCGTGTGTGTGTGTGTGTGTGTGTGAGCGTTGGGTAACTGCAGCAGCGGCAGAGCAGCTCGGTGTTTCGCAGCGGTGAGGACGACTCAAGACTCAGAGGATTTTTCGCGGACTCCGGGAAGCAGGCAGGTGAGTCGGTCCTTCCCGCCGTCTTTTCACGCTCTCTGCGGGGGCCATTTGTTTCGTGCTGCCGCATGTGCTTCTCCCACTTCTCCTGCGCACACACCCTCTCTCTCTCTCTCTCTCCTCTCGTCATCTCTTCGTCTCTCTCTCTCTCTCTCTCTCTCTCTCTCCCTCTCTCTCTCTCTCTCTCTGTATCTGGACTCAGGTGAAGGTGACCACACAGTGTGCAGTCAGTGCTGTTTCTCCTCTCTCACTGCTGCAGTCCAGGTCGGACAGGTGCACATGGGCGGATGTTTGCACGTTCACAGCGCGGAATTATAGTTCGTTTTTTTGCTTAAAGACGTCATCATGAAAGTTAAGTGCAGTGTTTCGTGTCACCTTTTTTCATATTAGAACAGCCCCGAAGCTACTTATTCCTCCGAGCTGGCTCCACTGTTCCTAAAGTCAAAGGTAGGATAGAAAAATCATGCTGTATGCTGTAACTTTGGTCGTAAATTAGTATAATGGATCTGCAACTTAAGCTGGACACCAATTTGTAATAAATCAGGGTTTATATCAATGCTTTGGGAGCCATTAATAACTTTTGGGTTGCCAGGTTGGGAAAAATCTCTTTGGCTGTTGAGCAGTGGTGGAATAAAATACTACATTAGCCTACAAGCAAAAGCCCTGCATTTAAAATCTTATCCGTGTAAAAGTATGCATTATCATTTAAAAAAGTGTGGTATTAAAGTGTTAATAGTATTTCAGTATTATGGCATGTCGAGGTGAAGCTAGTTTTAACTCTTTCGTATACATTCAGGTAGTTTAATATATAATTTACATCATATTTTGTAAGTTGATCAAATGTCTTATGTGTAAAAAACTTTCTGTCACTATACTGTCAGATGAATGTAGAGTAAGAAATACATTATTATTTCCATCTTGTATATAGTGATGTATGATGATATGTAAACTCAATTAAACTATAATTAGGCCTACTTACAAATTCTCCTTAAGTACAGTACTGGAGTAAATGCAATGTGTTACCTCAATTGCTGCCATTAATGAAGTCAACAATAAAGGGCATTACTTGCTTCTTAAATGTTAGTTAGTCATCTGTAGCTGGTGCTTAGTGGTCCATCACATCTTCAGTTGTAAATGTGAATCAGTTGACCATGAATTCATTGTTTTTTCAGAAGGTCACAGGTCAAATAGGCCATTGATAGGGTCTCTGTGATGGATTAAAGAAGCTGCCTAAAAAAGAAACACCAGTCACAATTTGGCAACCCAAGACTCATCCACATTCTGGTTATTGAAATGGTAATCTCATCTCTTTAATCCCTCAGTTTCAAAATGGGCACTGGAGATAAATGTACAGTGTTTACATTGACTTTGTTTGATATTGAAATATTGAAATAATTCCTGGTCTGAAATTTGCCAACCACCTCAATTTACACATTCAAATATGTGACAAATAAACAGCATATACCATAATAGGTTATTATTATACTGCGCAGCATATTACAACATAGTCTTCATTGTTAGTGGTTGTTGGATAAGCAAATTTACACATAAGATCACATTCAGTATCATCCTGCACCTCATGATTACCCTACGACCTCTTATGGTCAGTATCATGTTTTGGCTGAAGAGAGCTTTTTCACATTAATATTCATTGTATGTCCTGTGTCCCTGATGATCACGTTGTCATTTTTGAGTGCGATGGTATGATGAGCAGGTCTTCAGATAACCTCTGTGTATTTTTAGTGTACGAAGAGGCAGATTATTTGCAACACAATCGTAATTTCACGCTTCTCTGAGAAGATTTGTCTTCAGATTCTCCACATCATGGTGAACGTGGCCCACGGGATGGACCCACTCATTCTTTCTTTAATGTGCGAGTAATCTCATTTATGCTTCAGCTCTGTGAAAATCCCCCAATAGTTAGGGATAAAGAGAGAGAAAAAGAAGAAATATCGGGTTCCAGTGCAGCATATATACACAATTCCTTTAATAAAATACGGTGTTGATCCCGTATTTGTCGGTAGATGGCTTTAATCAAAGGTATGATTGCGTGTTTGGCATTTCAAATGATATCAGTTGAAAGAAAAGTACAAGAACAGTTCACCTGTTTTATTGATCTTTCTGGAGAGATGTCAGGCTAGATATTTAGCAAATCATTCTGCCCTGCCTGACAGATGGTTGTATTGGAAAACAGCTTTATCATACTCTGTAAACGTCTTCATACTCTGTAGGTGAGTAATGGCTTCATTTCATGATGTCTGATGAGCCCCAGCGAGCAGAGACTATCACTGAAATTAGGTTAAAAAGTCCCAGTAGATCTGTTTCAAGCCCAGCTCTATGGATCAATAGACAGGAAGAAACTGATAGTCTTTGCTAAGTAAAAGGTGTCTCAGACATCGCCTGCTGTTTTTGTTCGATTCCTCTCGTCTCCTATCATGCATGGCACATCGGTCACACCGCCGCCAAGGCAGATGTGTTTACCTTTCCCCTCCTGGAGTTTCCATGCTTTCGTCAGTGAGGCGACACCACGTTGTCAACGCCCTCGCCAACTCCTGTAGAGCAGCGCGCGCGCGCACACACACACACACACACACACACACACACACACACACATACACACACACAACGCAGATGTGTTGAGACAATGGTGTGTTTGCTGTGAGCTACGTGCATGAGGGCAGCAGCTTACAAAACCACACCAAAGGGCTTCTCACCAGCATGCCCGCCTGTCTGCTTGATCTGCTGGCCTCTATTTTTTTGCCAGCTTTGGCAGGCAGTGGTGCTGGAGAGAGTCGTGTTGCACCGGTTGCTCTGCCTTCACTTGCAATGTTAAAGGGGAACTCCACTGATATTACACTTCAAAGTCTCTTTAGTCTTTGGGAAAACCACGACCTGCATAAAAAATTAATTGTAATAAGTTGTATAAAACAAAATCATCTTAACTCAAGCTTCAAACTGTAGCTTTTTCTGGTGCTTTCAACTTCAGCAGTCCTCATCAGTGAGTGGAGATGAATGGAGACCTTCAAGTCTCCCTCCGTTTTAACATATTTCTATATTTCTAAGAGAGGAGCTCTCCTGAAACTAGTGGTAACACTGATGTTTAGTCTGTAAGACCTCCTAACCTCAGCTTCCTCACTTAGAACACAGAATTTAGACCCACATAACAAATCTGCAATTTCAGTTCCTCACAACTTTATCTTAGTTTAGTGAAAATCAAACAACTTCTGGACTGTTCAGATGGACTGTTTAAGAACAACAATTGTGGGTTTTGTGAAGCAAAAGAATGGAGATTACTGGGTAAAGCGAGTCTTAGCAAATAGTTCTGGATAAAAACAAGGTAAGTAGCTGGGATCCCTGCACCATCACATCAACTCCTTCCCATTTCATCTCTCACTTGCCACACCATAGGTTGGTTTCAAAGCTTAGCACCCAAAGTGCTAACAGAGAGGTCATTAGCTTCATTGTGCTTCATGCTGCGAGTGATTTGCAGCAGCAGCAGCAGCAGCAGCAAGCAGCCGTGGGGATTAAGCTGGTTTTTCTCCAGTGTCGCTGCGCGGCGGAGCGGGATTCGCAGTGTTGACCCTTTGATCAGTGACAGAGCCAGAGAACGAGCAGCCAGGCGGAGATTGTGCTGATGGCACGGGGCCTAATCTCTAGATTATCCATCATGCTGCTCCAGTGTGCACACAGCTAATTAAGAGATGAAGTTGTGTGTTGCAATATCGCATCACAGGGGGCGCGTTATTTAACTCCCGAAACTTTTTAAATGGTCTTTTTATGTAACAGCACCTTACTCATTCGCTTTGGCTAATTGGTTGTTATCAGGGAGTGATCATGCATATCAGCACGTAATTTTATGCTCATGCTGTCGAAAAAGTTCATACAGTGTGTCTCTTAGCCAAAGTTCATCATATCCTTTATGCATGTTTCATTGGGGACATTAAGCGCAGATAAGAGGAGCAAGTGTCACTGTCTGAAAGCTTTGTGATGACCCATGACCTGTTGACTGTGTTTCCCGCCACCTACTGAATTCTACGTTAACCAGTAGTGGAAAGTAACTAAGTACATTTATTCAAATACAAGTACTTGTCAAAGGAAACTTTGTTAATTTGACATCTGGTTACTTTTCAGATTAAAATGTTACATAAAAAATGTGTTGTTAAAGATTAAGCCTTCTCAGCTTGTGAGCCATTACAGAACAGCTGAGTCTAGTTGGGTCACATTTCCACCAATAGAGACATTTTCCCTATTAACTCCTCCAATGGTTTCATTTAAATAACTCCCCAAAGATTAAAGAACTAGAACTAGCTCAACCTCAATCAACTAAAATAGTGATATGCTTCTTTCAGCACACATTGTTGTGTCATTATAAACAATCAAATCTATATTAATGTCATTTATGATCACATAGAAGTCACAGAGGTCATTTATTCTGCGTCTGTACTTCTATTCTTGATACATTGTCGTATTGGTGGAGCACGCAACAACTCTGAATATTACTTTTAAGTACAGTACAGTGCAGTGTTTCCCCTGAGGCGAGTGAGTGTTTGTGCTGCAAATCTTCATTCTGCTTTTAATCTATCTCTCTGAACAGCACTTCTACCTCAGTACAAGAAACTCATTTGGTCTGCTGGATCATTTCTCGTTTAGTTAACACACATTGTTTTTCTCTTTCTCCGCGCAGACTCTTCTCAGCTGGAGGATAATCAAACAGTCTGGACGTGAAGACACACTCTTCTCACACTTAGATTGTTTGTGTACAGCAAATTGAGTGCAATCGAGGCTGTGCTTGGACCCAGGTCTGTGCGGTAAACATGGGAGACCAGAGGTCAGTCCAGCCCCTCCTGCTCCTTCTGCTGCTCCTGCTGCTCCTCGCCAGGCTGTCACAGCTATGGGCCTTCCCCTTCAGCCCCTCTCTGGACTTGGATGTCACTCCCAGGACAACTGTCGTCTCCAAAGGTGAGGGTGGTAAACAGAATTTTCTAGATCGTTTTTTTTTCCAACTGTGAGGCGCAGAGGGAGAGACATGAGGCGAGGATGCCGTGTTAAGTGAATGGGGAAGGTGCATGTGGAGGAGAAGTTGGTTACTGTGGTTTGGTCTGCTGAGTTTGTGCAGTTTACCAACACTGTCAGCAGTTGGAGCTGCAGCAGCTACTTCTTCTCATCACATGTCTGTCAAATCGAAACACACCAACATGGTACACATCGTTGTCACGTTCAGTGCGCGTTACACTTTCAGAGAATATTATTATTAACAATGTCCACCACAAATAAACAACCGGAAATCTGATTAGACATCAGAGGAAAGAGATGCTCAGAGTTTTTAGGTTTTATTCAACATCATAAAAATCAGTTGATAGTCGCTTGTGTATCATTGGATACACTGCACACAGGAAGTGCTAATAGCTATTATGGCATACATAAATGTCACCAATTTGCCAAAAATGTAAACCAATATAGGTAAAAAAAAAAAAAAAAACAGGGCTCATAATACAGTCTACAACGTGACGCACTGAATTTATGGTAACACCCCCCACCACCACCACTACCACCCAAAGCATTATGGGCACTGTAGTTGCAAAACATGGCAACATAATTACCTCCCAAGGGTGTGGGAGCTTGTTGACTTTAAAAACCCCTGTTTTTTTAGATTCATCCATGCAAACACATGTGCACAAGCCAACTAAACACTCACCTCGCTGTCCTTATTTGATGCTGCTGCAACCTCTTCCTCCCCTCCCCGGTAAAGAAGTGGCACAGTTTTCGAAGTTGGCCCTGAAGACAGCTCCTTCATGCTCAGAGTTATTAATCGCCTCTCTCAAGCCCTGTCCTAGATCACACGGCTCAGCAAACACCTCTAATGAAACAATAGACAGGAGGCCCTCATAAAAGAGGACCCGAGCACATTAGACCTGATTAGTGTCCGTGCAGAAAATACTGCTGAATAGGTGTATTTTGGCACTTTAAACACACGACCAGAACTGCTGCCTTCCTTTCTTCCCTTACCTTACCCACCTCACTTCCCACCAGCTCACCTTTTCCCCTCCCTCTCTCCTCGCTCCCCATCACTGCGGCAGAGGCTGCCACTGCAGCTGCAGCGAGAAGGGAACTCCGGCACTGGCAGACTGATCGGATAGCTGCGCTCTTACCTCCACTCCACTCCACCCCTCTCCACTTCCTCTTCAGTCCTCAGAGGATGAGTATTATTAGAGGACGGGCCTGGCTCTATTTGCCGGCCGAGCTCTCAGGTGCAATGTCACAAGGGCTGTTGTGAGTGTTGCGGTGAGAGATGACGGGGAGGATATGCTGCTTGACGTTCTGAATCACAATCAATCAGAGATATATAACAGAGGAGGAGCCAAGTTTTGCTGTGTGTCTGCTGCTTTCTGGTGCATTTTCATGATCTGAAAAGCAATGTTGCGTTTGCTGTTTGCTGGAGAGAGGGAGGAACTCCACATTCAAGTTTCGCCTCATAATGCACTGAATGTGGCACCACTTTTACTGCTACTATTATGGAGCTGTTTACTGCAACCATTGGGAGATGACAGCACTGAAATGACTCCTAATATCAGTACAGTTATTTATCAGCCGAATGAAAAGGACACACTCGATTAACTCTGAGGAGTTCATCAGACAGGGCAGCACAAATAATTCATGAGGCCTCATTAAGCAAGTTTGTAAGAACATCATAGACAGAGCTTATTGTCTATTCTGAAAGCCTCTAAATTGTCATGCCACCGCCTATTTATTTACACATCTCTGACTCTGCCTCAGATTATAAATCATACATAACCGCCTCACTGTGCGCACTTCTCTGCGACGCAGCCAGAGCCAGTCTGTCATCGCAGATTTTATTTTTCTCCTTGCCCTCGTAGAAAGTCGTCCTTGACCTACTTTTTAAATCACCAGAGGAGGCGTGTCAGCGCATGCGAGAGCGCAGGATGTGCACGTGTGTCAGCATGAGTTTCATCAGTCCCCATGAACGTGCCAGTACCCCGTGTGTATGTGTGTGTGGGAGGAGAGGTGCTATTTGGGTTTGCATTCAGTCATATCATGTAAAATCTGCACACATGCACCCGCTTGTCACTTTCCTTGCGGAGACACATGTCGCTCGGCGGGGGGGTGGGGGTGCAGGGTGGCAAGCTCCCCCTCATAAGGACGATATGTGTGGCTGGATGCGCACTGCTGTATGTGGAAATGAGATGGATGTTGTGTGTGGGTGTCACTACCTATGGGAGATGTTGTGGGAGGATTTATATTATGTTTCTCAGATGGGGTGAGGGGGCGCTCATTAAGTTACAGTATGCTTTGCAGATGGCCTGCATAAGTGGGAGTACAAGGACATGCTGTATAGGAGGGAGATCAGATTGATAAGAAAGAAAATGACATGAGATGACTTTATGCACTCTTGTATGGAAATCTCCAGGTCCAGTTGTGCTAGAAAAACCACCATAGAAGAAATGAATCCTGCATACTGTGAGAAGCTTGCAATGATAATATTTGACTCAGTAAATGTTTCTGTCCAATAAGCAGAGGTGGAAGAAGAATTCACACCCTTTACTTAAAGCCGCACTAATCAACATATTTATATTAACAATGAATGAAATGACAGTGTTTATGTGCCTGTAGCGATAAACCCACAGAGAACTACCAGCTGACTCGGCAGTTTCATTGTTTCACTTTTATGGCTAACATCTTTACTGGTACTGTTTTGGTTTAGTCTCACCTCTGTTATTGTCCTGCAGCAGCAGCAGCAGCAGGCAGCTGTTTTCAGGAAAAAAATTGTCTTAATAAACCCTCTCAACACTATCTACCCAATACCAAACAGCAGACACACACAGTTAGCAACTAGCTGGTGAACATAGTGGAGCATTTAGCAGCTAAAGAGCCACATATTTCCCTCAAGAAGTGGTGGAGACCATAACAGAGCTAAAAGGACAGTGAATACGGGACTTATATTTATCGAGTAGACAGAAATATGACTCTAAATGAATTCTAATGTTGCTCAGTGTCTACTGGATGAGCAAATAGCCGGCTAATTGCTATCATGTTCTCTCCCTTTATAGCCAAAACAATCAAATAATGTAGGTTTAAGAAAAAGCAATATCACAGTTTAAAAAAAATCCTTCATTAAAGTAATTTTTTTTTTTCAACTTGGGTTTTTATATCATAATCGTGTCTGTTCTATGATTAATCCATTAAAGTTGTAATACAGCCCTAGAATCCAGTCATATGTACAGTATGTGCAGCTTTAATAGGTAAATTTGATAGAGATAGATTGTGTGTTTACGTGACAGGGTGGCGGCTGTTTTCCTTTTCCCAGAGGTGAGATTAATGCCTGACCACGTTCTGAACTCGGCTGTCTTGCCCGTGGGCTGCCTGCTTTGGCTTTTCCTGCCTGTGCCACCAGACCTGAAGTAATGCAGTGCTGAAATATTGATATACTGTAAGTTGTCTGTTGCTACTGTGACAAGCTGGGATAGCAAAATAGGTCATAGTAGTGTAATTCCTTATTGTTAGCACTATTGATATTGTGATGGTGGTAGTAACGCCTACCAGCTTGATGCTCTTTTGTAGATGAAGAGTTTTCTTTATCCAGTATGGCAATTACAGTGCTGAGGAGACAGGCCATGCAGTGATAGTCACCAATTTACTGTTCAGCCAAGTCTATTATTGTCTTAACAAACAGCCTGAGCAGCTGCATCCACTGTGTGTTGAACACAGAAAACATTGATGATTTACTCACATTATCAGCTCGGCCTCGGCTGCTTTGACAGAAGTTGTTGAACCTCTATCTCAGCTGTGTGACAGCGTTGATACGCCACCTTTCGTTTTCACCATTTTGTTTTTCTCTCTCCGTGGTGACATTTCATGCTTTGGACCCTGAGATTCCCAAGACGCTTTGATCTTATTCCCGTCTTGATAGTGCTGATGTGGGATTCTGACAGGCTCTTATCGGTGATTCACTTATAGCGTCGTGCAAGGCCCGAAACAACACGAGGACTGTTTGTGTGTCGTACGTGGGGTTGGCTTTTCTTTTCAGAGATGAAAGTCTTGGCTGTCTTTCATCTCATTTTGCAGTCTCCCTGGTCGAACAGAGTCCTATGAAAGTTTTGGCTCCGAGACAAGCTCTGAAGGAGGTATTGTGTTTGTGTCATCATTGGTAGTGTGGTAAACACAACACTGCCACTTTGACGTAATAACAAGTGCTCTCTCTGACAACTTTATTCATGAAGAACTGAGTGCATATCTCAGAGTGGTAAGGTCCTATTTTTCGTTAAACCATGAGATTCCTGAAAAAAAAAAAAGGTAGATTGACATATTTGGGTAAACATTAATGTTCATGTTAAAACTTGAATTCTCAGTTTAAAGGACCCGTTCACCTGAATTAAAAAATGCAGAGGTTTGGATTTATTGCCAAGATATCTGTCTCTGACTTTTCTTTTCAATTTTGTTTGTGGAAAATGGAAAACCTTTAGCTACTATTACTTTGATTATGTGATCATGGCACTCATACTTAAATAATGTTATAGGATTTTACATAAAAGTGTTCCTTATACTTTCTGATTACTTTGAGGGGGCGTTATAACACCAGAGCCGCTGCAGCAAACTTAACTAGATGATCAGACTTCCTGTATTCTGGTGCTATTGAATGGAATAAGGAGGAATTAAGGAGGAGTCAAACTTTTAGCAGCTAATGTTCAGGCTTTGCTTTGATAGAAGGTGGAGATATTAGCATTTCATTATAAACTTTAAATCCAATTATATTTACATCTTGAATTATGTTAAACAACCAATGTCTTTTATGCTGCTGATTGGCTTTTAATGTGTTTTTGACAATTTTACTTTAAGGTTCAAGGTTCGGGTTTGAAAAGATCAATTGGTTATTTATAAGATTTGCTTTTCTACAGCCTCATTTTCTAATATCTTAATGTTGCACGTTCAATGTCTTGATGAGG